TTAGAAGAGATAGAAGTATGTCCAAATAGTCCACATATATATAATCCAAAGAACACGCACATTTCTGTCGGACCTACCTATAGGTCATGTTTGTTTGGCTCTATTAGTGAGGAGATTAGACTAATTCGAGGGAGGGCCACATAGAGAGTTGTTTGGTTGTGGAAGGTTGTGATGTGATTAGCACGCCAAGGCCATGTTTGTTTGGCTCTTTAGGAAGGGAGATTGAACTAATAGTCCATAAGACTCACCTAAGTATTTGGCTGGAGACGTGAGTCAGGGGATTAACAATCCCCTTAGACTAGTAATTCCACCATGTGGTAGAACTAATAAAGTCATGAGAGAGTCCAGATTAGAAATTGAGTGAGAAAATTAGTGAAATTTTAAATGATTTTTAAGCAAAAATTATATTTTTTAGAACAAAAAAAATAACTATAATATTAAAAAAATACTAAAACTTAAAAAATATTGGTAGCGTTTGATAAAGTTTTAGAATTATGGTTTGAAAATAGAGTTGTATTTTGATTTTGTGAGTTTTAAAATTATGATTTAAGTGTAAAAAATTTGTTTGGTTACGAGTTTTGAATTAAGTTTGAAATGAATGATGTAGCATATGATATTTGATTAAAAAACTTACAACTCATAACCAAATACACAATCCAAAATTCTATTCAAAACTTATAAAAAAAAAAAATTAATTCCGAAAATATTTTTTATTTAAAATATAAAAATAACAAGTGCCAAAAAAAAAAAAACAAAACAAAACAAAACAAAAAACACTGTTCCGGTCAACCGGCCGGATTTCCGGGGGAACATCTGGGAGGATGACATGTGGAATTAATTTTTGAAAGCGCTAACCAAACACTACACTCAAACCAAGGGGTGTAATCAACTTTGAAAAGCTTTACCAAACACAGCTATTAATTTTATATATTAATACTATCTATAGTATTACTAATCCGATGGTGTACAAACAAACATTTTTTATTCTATATCTACAACAATATCACCACACTAAGTAGTCTTTTGGCACGTGGGTTTAGCATGGGTTGGGCCTATTTTAGCCACAAAAAGACAAAATAGGTTTTTTAGTCCCATGCTAAAAGTTGTCACATTCAATTTATAATCATTACATTTTTTCTCTCACAAAAGTGATAAAAGCCAAAAAAACTCCATCTCAAATGAGGCTATTTTAGCTCAACCCACATCTCAAACGAAACCAAAATAGACTTTTTAACCTCAGGCTAACAGTTGTCTCATCCAAACCATAATCATTATATTTTTTTCTAACAAAAAGTCAAAAAAATCAAAAAGTTCATCCCAAACGAGACTATTTTAGTCTCAGGCTAAAATAATCAAAAAGTCAACCCGCATCCCAAACAAAGCCTTTTAATCCCAGGCTAAAATAACCAAAAAGCTAAAATGCCAAAAAACTCACTCAATTTCATCGTACTCTTAATTTCCTTCCTCCCATGGAGCAAAACAAACGTGGCCCAAAGGGACTAACAATTCCCCTTTCTGGTTGGACTACCATGGAAGAAAAACGTGTGAGATTAGAAATCTAGTGATAAGATTAATGAATTAAAATATTAAATAAAATGGACTAAAATATTTTCAATATTATTTTTTTCAAATAATTTATTTTTGAAAGAAATATTTAATTTTTTTTAATAAATACTATAAAAATATGATTTTTTTTATATTTAGTGAATTTTTAAATAATTTTTATGCAAAATTTATAATTTTTTTAAGTGTCTATATATATAAATAATAAAATAAAATACATAAATAGCCAAAATATGCCTATAACTCTTCTTCTCAGTTGAGAATATATTTATATATATATGACAATGTTTCAACAATTTCTTACAAGATTCAGAACTCCGTCTCTCTCTCCCTCTCTCTCTCTCTCAAACCGATGCAAAATAGTAAGGATCCGAACGTCTAGCCAGATGACCCCACTGCCCTTCCCCCCTATCTCTCTCTCTTTCTCTTTTCTCTCTCTCGCTGGCTAGATGGCTTGTTGCAGTTAACAATCAAATTAATAACTGACACTAATGGCTGACATTAACACACCCCTTAATAGCTCAATTGAAGCATTTTTAAAAAAAAATTACTTAAAATTTTAAAAATATTCACTAAAAACAAAAAAAAAATTAAAAATTAAAAACTCAATTTTCAAAAAATAGATTCTAGAAAATTAAAACCAAACACAGTGATTAATTTTATATATTAATACTATCTATAGTATTACTAATCCGGTGATATACAAACAAATACTATTTATCTTACATCTCCAACATTGTTTGGGGTCCCTAGCATAACTCCTACTAATAATCTCCTCAATTAATCTCACCATACTTCTAATCTCCTCCATCCTATGGAGTCAAAAAAACGAGGTCATAGAGTATTTGATTGGGGTCATGAGTAGGGGGATTAACTACCCCTTGGACTAGTAAGCCCCCTTATTTGGTAGGATTAATGTCATGGTGGGGTTGATATTATAAATTGAATGATGAGATTATTGAATTTTTAAATAATTTTTACGTAAAATTTATTTTTTAGAACAAAAAAAATAATTATAATATTAAAAAAAATTAAAAATTAAAATATATTAATTTTATATATTAATACTACCTATAATATTACTAATCCGATAGTATATGAACAAACACTCCTTATCTAACATTTTTAACTTAATACCATCATACTAATAATTTTATCACTCAATCCCACTATACTTTTAATCCCTTTCACCCTATAGAGCCAAACAAAACATGGCCGAAGTTCATCAAACTAGGAAGTACGAGAGAGAAAAATTGAAAAATTACTCGACAGAGAAAACCAAAAAGTTTGGAAATGAGAACACAGACATTGAAAAAAACACATCAGTGCAAATGCCATTGCAACAAAAATTATGTGGCGCTAATGAAAGGATTGGATTCTTTTAAATTGATAGTTAGTTATTTAATTTGAGAGAATGTTTAGATTTGACAAGCTTGTTTTGAGGTTAATTTTGGTAAATATGAATCATTCACTTTTCAAAACTTGTCAAATAAAATATTCATGTAAAAAATTAAAATAATCGGATATTAATAACTTTATGTTTAAATCACATTTGTTTTTGACAAATTGATGACAATTATAATTTCAAAAATAATCTTTTATTTTTTATAATACAAATATTATTTAAACATATAATTATTTGTATCCGATCTTAATTTTTTTTGCGTTAATATTTTATTCAACGAATCAAAATAAATAAATAGTTTGGATTACCGAAATTAGCCCCAAAATGAACCCACTAAACCTAAACACTCTCTCAAGGTGAGATGGCAAACTTAAAAGAATACAAACTCTTAATGAAACTCTTGTTGGGTTAATTGTAAGGGCTTGGCTTCTATCCAGTCTTAAATTAGACTAGAGAAGTATTGTTAGGCCCACTCGGCCCATTTTTTAATTTTTTTTCGATAATTCGAATCGTTCATATTTTAAAGTTTGTCGAATACATTATTCCTGCAAAAAATTAAGTTGATCACATATTCGAATCAATTTTGTATCGACTTGATTTTTTACAAGAATGATGTATTCGAAGAATTCTAAAATATGAACAATATAAATTACTGAAACGAGTCCAAACGTGCACCAACACAAGCTATATATTACAAAAAATATATACACTTCAAATAATAATAAGACCGTCTAGTCCCTAATTATAAAATGCACCAACACAAGGTATGTATTACAAATCAATCACTTATTTGCCATCTATCTCTAAATAATTATAAAAAAAAGGTAAATTACATTGACCACTCTTGAAATTTAGAGAAAATATTATAAGTTCCACTACATTGACATAATTATATGGGGTTCTTTTAAAATTTTAATTCACATAACATATCTACCTCGCTATTTTTATCTATAATTTGTTAATTATACAGATGGAAAAATAATGTCAAATTTTTTACTTTAAATATATATATTTCTTTGTTTATTCTTGTATTTTCACATCATCTACATTGGTTTCAACTTCTTTTGTCTTATTAAAAGGGAGGTCAGAATAATTATGCCAAATTTACCCAAAAAATATTATACAAACACACTTTCTTTTATATAAATATCTTTTACAAACTGATGTATTTTTTAATATTTAAAAAATTGCTTTCATAATAAATGAATTTTTATGAAATTTTACCAAATTTTAAAAAAAAAAAAAAATTGGTAAAAAATCAGAAAATGTATACCATTTCCTTATCTTAAATGAGATCTATGATAGGAACATGTATCCACCACAGCAATTTATAAAGTAAATTTATAAATAAATATATATATATATATATATTTAGCATTATTTATTTGAATTGGGTTTTGAAAAGAAAATTGTGAATTTAGATCATGACTTCATGTAGGAATTTTTTTATTATTTTTTTTTTTTCAAAGGTTAGGAAAAAAAATCTAAACATATTCAATTCACAATTTTTCTTTTCTATTTCTAAAATCCCACTCAAATTTTTTCTATTTTCAAAATCCTAACCAAGCTAATGATTTAAAAGCCTAATGTTATGTTTGGTTGAGGGATTTGAGGAGGGATTTGGAAAGAGAAATGGAAAAAGTAGGTGAAATGTAAAAAAAACATGCCTACATTTCACATAGTTTCACACACCTTTTCTCTTTCTCTTTCTAAATCCCTCCCCAAATCCCTCAATCCCTCGACCAAACACAACGTAAATGAATCCCATCGTGCACACAAACCAATCAAATCCCTGCGTGACATTCATCTGGTAGTGTCATTAGAGACACCGATTAACTTCTCCATTGCAGGTCATGGACTGTCGGAAGTGTGCGCATAGCTCACTGTGCTCAATTTAGTATCATCCTATTATTCTAACGTGCACAAGGTCACACTGCACTATAAACCAGCTTTCTCGTAACAAAACCAGTAACAGAAGTGAGTAGGTTAATCATGAAAAGGATAAAATACGCAGCGAGAGCAAGTTGATTACCAGACGGACAATTCCCGGGTTTGAACGAGGTCGTTAACGTCTCGTTGCAGAGGCTACTCAGCTCTGACTCGATGTTGCTCAGGAACGTCGTCGCTTCATCAAACGGCTTCGATAGCTCCTCCTTGTATCTATGCAGCACCTCACAATACGATTCCTTCAGTAATTGGGAGAAATCAAAAATTAACAAACCACACATTTGAATTTGATGAATCTACATGCGGATTATAGATATAGGCAGATCGCAGAGCGGTCCAATTTCAAAAAATTTATAAACTCTACAATTGTTCTGGCGTGTTTTATAAACCCTATCACAAGATTACGTAAATTTTATGATGTTATAAAAATATACAGTTAAATATAAATTTGTATAAGTTTTGTGGATTTATATTTAATTTATGCATTTTAATGAGATTAATTATGTAATTTTGTAAAAATTTATGTAATTTCATAATAAAGTTTGTATGGATTGGTACTTCATGTCTCAAATTAATTATATAACAAAATTATAAATATAATATTTTTATTATATTTTATTAAATATTGATCGTATTTGCTATTTATTACTATATATATATATATATATATTGTTTACAATTATTTATAGTATTGTATTTGTCATTATTTATTATAATTTTCGTTTATTTTTTTATATGTCGTTATGTTTTTAAATGGATTGCACTCATTTTTCTTCACATTTGATAAAAGAATAAAGGTTGATAAATAGAGCATAAGAAAACTTTTAGGACTAAATGGTTTAACTTTTCAGAAATTAGGACTTATGGGTAAATTTTCCATATAATATTTTTATTATATTTTACTAAATATTGATCGTATTTGTTATTTATTACTATATATATATTGTTTACCATTATTTATAGTATTGTATTTGTTTTTATTTATTATAATTTTCGTTTATTTTTTTATATGTCGTTATGTTTTTAAATGGATTGCACTCATTTTTCTTGACATTTGATAAAAATATATATATATAGTTAGTTTTCAAAATTTTAACATAATTATATTAATCTTTCTTTCAATAAAATTAAAGCAATCAAAATTAATGAAGATGATAGTTAAACATTAAAAGAAACAAATTTAAGTATAAATTTTAATAAAAAAAAATATGACAATATTATTTATTTATCCATATGACTCGCAATTAACTGATTAAAATGACTTTGTTATGTGACTTATAACTTCAAGGGAGGAAAATGTAATTATATTAAAGGATAAATTACATTGACACCCCTTAAGATTTTTGTTTAATACAGATTTTTCCTCACATTTGAAAATTACACTTACCCCCTATCAGATTAAAATGACATATTTGTCGCTTAACCTTTATACATATAAATAATAAAATAATACTGATATTTTGTTTATGTCATTTCAAGAGAAATAATAATCATCTTCTTTGGTTTAGATACACCTAATCTAAATAATATTTTGTAATTTTTTTTTTCTAAATTCACCAATTACAATAACAAAATATAAAAATTCAATAATACTTTAATATATGTGGGTGAATAAACAAGAAAGAAAAACAATGGTGGAAATAAAAATGAAAAATTCTATTCATATATAAATATTTATATAAAAATATCATAAAAATGTTGTAATAGTGATGTTGTAAATATAAATCATGTTTTTGAATGTGTTGTCTTAAAGTGAAAAGTAATCATTAAGTTATATTATTGTGTTTCAAAATTTTATATAAAATTTATGTTTGTATATCATCATTCAATAAGAATATGTTCAGGTAGAATTTAACGATAAAAAGTAGTAGAATGTAGTCATTATGATATATAGGAAGAAGAAATTATACGAAAGAAGGGTAAAATGGTCATTTAGAAAATTTTAGGATATGACATCAGTAATCCAAAAATAATTTGTAATGAGATTACAAATTTTAAAAAAGGAAATGTACAGAACACTCAGGAGGTGTCAGCGTAATTTACCCAATATTAAAAGTGTAGAAATAATTATATCTTCTACAAACTTGATAGAGGGTGAGTGTAATTTATTTTTATATTTTTATATATAATCTTTTAATTTATTTATATTTCTTATTTTATGTTCATCCTTATTTGTTCATCCTCCAAAAATTATTTTATATATATAAAATATTCAAAAAAAATTAAAACTACTTATTGAAATGAATTATCCTCTTGCTTATGGATTGATTTGTTTAGTGTTGAATTACTTGTTTGAACTACGTATAGTATGTGTCCAAACATATAAAAGATTCAACTGTCTATAAGGCTATATTGGATTAAAATGAAATAAAAGATAAAAAAGTAAAAATTATAAAGTGAAAGGGAAAAAAAATTTCTTGCATAAATTTGATTAGAATGAAACTTTTGCAAGAAAAAAAAGAGAGAAAACATGAATTTTAATTATAAGTAATTTCTTTTAAAACAACTTTAAATTTTTTTGTATTATTGTTTGCAGAAAATTAAAATTTTAATTACTATGTTATCATGAGTTGTATAAAAAAAATATATATATATATATATCAAAAAAGTGGGATGTTGAAAAAATAATTACAAACTCATAAAAATACAAGTAATTTATGCAATAGATAGTGGAAATGAGTATTATACTTTCATGAGTTTGTATTTATTTTTTTATACTTGACATTTTTTTTGATATTTTCCCCAAAAAAAATTATTTTCCTTATAACTTCCATCACTTTCATGCTAGGCAAACTCAAGATTTTTTTTTTTTTTTTTTTTTTTTTGTCATTTCAGTCACTTTTTACTACTTTCATCCTAACCAAAATTAGCCCAAGACTTTTTTTAAAAGAAAAATAAAAGATAATTTTCTAACTAGTTACTTGGTCATATCTACTGTGAATAAAGCTAAAAACTCACCCTCAAAACACGTGATTTATGTCATGAATGTAAAAACTCATTTCAAAAAATTACATTTTTAATTTTTTAAATATGTAATTTTTTCTATTTTCACCTCTAAAATTGCATATTTATCTCTAACTTTAATTACATTTAAAGGGCATTTACACACAAATAATTTATGAACTTATACTCCATTAAGTACTAATTAAGATTTTTTGGACCTTCAAGTCTCATTAAATTTGTAATAGTTGGAATTCCCCTTTAAATAATGATTGTTCATCATTTATGATTATCTATAAAGAAACATGATGATTTGATATTTATTTTGATTTTCAAAACTTTAAAACATCAACTTTCAAATTGAAAAAACTAAAAAAAAAAAATTTATGTGCAAAAAATTGAAAAAATTGAATTTTTTTTGTGCAACACTAAAAATCTTGTATCTATAAAGGAGCATGATGATAGAACATTAATATGCAAAACTAGAAAAAAAAAAACATTAAAAATGAAAAAAATTGACAATATTCTCAGTTATAAAACTGAAAAAAAAAAACTGATAATATTCTCGATTTTATTAAATAGTTGAATCAAACCAATAAGTAGAAGGGCAAAAACATTTAATCTCATGCTTTGTTATTTTTTTATCAATTAGTGAAACAATTATCTAGAACATTACCATGCAAAGTTGATAATGTTCTTAGTTTTAAAAATTGAAAAAAAAATTGATAATATTCTCAGTTGTACTAATTAGAACTTATTGGTTCAAAAAATCTTAGATAAGACCTGAGTTACTATAATATTTGTAAATATGACTTTTAGATAATTAACTCAAAAATTTATTAACGGAGTTATATTGGAATGACTAAATTTAAACACTTTTTATATATTAAAGATTAAATTGAGATAACTTTATTATTAAAGATTAAAATAACACAATTTATATTTTGAGACTAAAAATGTAATTAATAGAATCAAGGATGGATCTAGAGGGGAAAGGGGGGCCATCGCGTCCTACGATTTCAAAAAATTATTTATATATTAATATTAACTATTAATTATCTTTAAATTATATGAATTTGACCTTATAAGTTTGAAAAATAAATAAATAAATGATTAAACCACTTACACCTTTTTATATATGAAAGGTGGAATTTGAAGTATAAAATTTAATAATTTTGACAAAATTTAATAATAAAATTTATTTTCACATAACTAACAATTGATCTTTATTACTCAATATGAGTATAGAAAAAATGTTTATATGTATAAGCTATATTTTACCCTTTGGCCATGTTTGTTTGGGCGGACTGGATTAACATTCTCATCCCTAATAGTCCTAGGACTACGAATCCGTTGGATTATATATCCTATCTTACACATTAATCAAGGTAATTCAAAAATGATAATTCTTTCATGATCATTTTCATGAAAGTTTTTTCATGATCTCTAACTTTTCTCTTTTAAACTTCATTTTAAAAAAAAATTATTAAAATATAAATAATACTAGGGATCATGAAAAAAAAATCATGAAATATATCATGAAAATTTTTCATTCTTTGATTAGTGTGTGATATTTTATTATGTGTGTAATCCAAAGATAGAGAATCATTCAGGATCATCTTCATAATATTTTTTTTCATGATCCCTAACTTTACTCAAAGGATGAAAAATATATGTCCTGCTTCAGTCCAAGTGAAATATATGAATGAGAGAGAGCGAGAGAGAGAGAGAGAGGAGGTTACCATGAATTCATCAAGTTCAGGATCGGCGCCGATTTCGCAGCGACTGCTTGTCGAATGTCGGTTCTGTTTGCTGATTTCTTCAAGAAGTGATGCCATTTCTAGTGGTGCTCCAACCTGTGATGATGATACAAATATAGCGAAAATTCAAAGTTCGATAGCTTGAGTTAAGCGTCTATGGAAGCAAACCTATACAAAGTCTATACATACACACAAAGTACACATGCGATCACCTTTCGGCATTGAATATAGGCAGAGACTAGGTTTGGACAAAGCGGATGATTCGCAATCTGATCCTTGATGAGATCAGACATCTCCAATCCGCCGACCTCCATCTCCGCCGTCTCGAACTGGACCGCACCGTCAAATCATCTCCAATCCGCCGACCTCCATCTCCGCCGTCTCGAACTGGACCGCACCGTCAAATGCTTGGACAGTCGTTGGAGAGTTTCCGACGCCACCGGTGACATCATCTGAACACGAAATTGAAGAATGAATACAATACAGATCGTCCATTGACTATTACTCTTTATTTATGAAGGAGTTATATATATATATATATAACTTCCAAATCAGAAACCTCCAGTTCTATCGCGCTTTCATTTCAATTTGAGTTGGCCAAAATCAGAACAATTTCGGAACAATCAACAAGGTGAGAGCGAGAACTTTGGAGAACTAGTAGAAGTCTCCATTAATGCACGAACTCTTGGTTCTACAATCCTTATATGTATATACAGAGAGAGAAACTTGAATAAATTAAAGTTGAACAATCTAGAGAGAGAAGTTTAAGGCGTGTTTGGTTGAGTGATTTGATAACGGATTTGGGATAGGAAAAGAAAAAAATATATAAAATTAAGTAGAATATAAAAATATGTTATTTACATTTCACCAAATTTTTGTTTTTTATAAATCTCTTTTTAAATTTTTCAACTAAACGCGAGAGAGAGTGAGGGAGAGAGAGAGAGAGTGTGAGGTTGAGAATCAGAGAGAGAGAAAGAGAGGTTGAGAATAACCGAGAGAGAATTGGACACCTGAATTGAATTCGAAAAGGACCAGACCTTACTTGATGTTGTAGTCTCTGGAGAAGGAACCTATGAGAACAGAGTAGAAAGAGAGATGAGTAGGAGAGAAAGTAGAGAGAGGATTTGCCTTGTTTTTTAAAAAGTAATGTTAAAAATCATGAAAAAATGATTATAAAATATTTTATGAAGGTTCTTTATTTTTAAATATAAAATATTTTATGAAGGTTCTTTATTTTTAAATTATACATACAATACTATATATTAATTAAATGATAAAAAAATTTCATAAGACATTTTATGATATATATTTTTTTTATCATCCCTAACATTCTCTTTTAAAAAAGAGGGAATTATATTGTGTCAATGGAAATTATTTATCAAAAAATTAAAAATTTAACTTGTCATGATCAATCTCATTTTCATGGCTCCAATCCAAAAGTAAATCAATGATTTTCATGATTGTTGAGATTTTTTATTTTTTTATTTTTTTTATAGTTACACACATACACATATCTTGAGATCTTCAATCATTTATTCTTCGTCTTCTTCAAATTTCTTATATATTATGGGGATATATTTTCTGAGTACCAACACGTGACTAAGATGACACCGACGTGTCAGCCGAAGTGCCACGTGTCCTGGTCGTGACACCGAGGTTATCTCGGCGAGGCCGAGGTTACCTCCAAAGATATCGGAATCCGAGATAAACGGATAAGGCACAAGAATCTTAGAAAATGAGAAGACTACAATTGAGAAAGGATGAGACTCTTAGGGAGTTTATCCCAATCCTATTAGGAGTCCAAGATTGATAGTAACCCAAAGTCCATTAGAGCTAGGCTCCTGTTGGGACAAGGATTGAGTTAGCTATAAAAAAAAGGCACCTCCGTGAGTCTAAGGTACGCAATTTATATTCTGAACAGTGAGATTTGTACTATTGATTATCTTTGAGAGATATACTAACTTGATCGTCGGAGTGCCCCGGGTGGACGAACCACCGCCGGAATCTTCTCTTTCTGTTACAGGTTAGCCAGGTATCATCTATTCTGCCAGTGTTCTCCAGCTGAATACTGAGTTGGGCAGTGTGATCGGAAAATCACTCACACAATTTGGCGCCGTCTATGGGAAAGAAAGTAGAATAGATGGCCAGTAACGGACAGAAGGAAAAGATTGGGGACGACACTCCTACTGGGAGTGGGAGACCTATTGACCTTGATGGCGAAGGAGACAAGTCCAACGCAGAAACTCATGAGCAAGCTCACGGAGTAAAAGACGTCGGCCAGACTGGTGACGTACCGAAGAAACCTGATCAAAGCAGGTACTACAACGAGGACGACCTCCAGGTTTGGAAAGATAGGTGCCTACGGAGGGACGAAGAGGTAAAAGAGATGCAAACAAATTGACAGACCTGCAGCCGGTCATCAATTTCATGATGCAAAATAACGTCATGCAGCCATCGTTCCCGCTGCAGGACACACCAATTCCAGTGGCCAATGCCCAGAAGGGAGGGCAGAAAACAATCCCCGTAGCTCCTCAGCACAACTGGAGCGAAAGATACTCTCACCGACCTTCTAGGGAAGTCGGACGAAGAGAGTCGAGAAGAGAAGAATCACGGAGGACGCATCGCACAAAGAAAGGACATTGGCATGTTCAGGGGCAAGCACTATGCTTCGACACAACTCATGGAGAAGGGTCGAAAAGGGCTCACCACGAGGCCAAGAGTAGTATACCGAAAAGACTAAAGTCGAAAGATAGCCGAGCTCCTGGACGGAGCAAAGAAGACTTAAGATATTACCTCAAGAGGAAGCAAAAGAATACCAAAGCTGAGGTAACCTCCCCAGATAAGCCAAGGACACCATTCTCGGTGGAATTAGACAGGTTTGAGGCGCCGAAGAGATTCAGTATGCCGAGGTTTCAAATATACGATGGTAAGTCAGACCCCAACTTCCACGTTGGACTATATTTGAACTCAATGGCATGGTATAGTGTGAACGAGTCGTTGCTCTGCAAAGTGTTCCCCTCATCCTTCAAGGAGATTGCATCAGATTGGTTCCACAAACTACCGAAGTGAAGCGTGAAGGCTTGGGAAGGCCTGGCCGAGATGTTTGTGGCCAGGTTCGTAACAAACAAGCTGCAGCCATTAAGGGTGGATGCATTGATGGCCCTGAAGATCAGCAAGGATGAAGGCCTTAGGGCCTATGCAAAAAGATACTATGAGGTGTTCAATCGAATACCCGAATGTAATTAAGAGGTGGCAGTCGTATCTTTCAAGAACGGCCTGAAAGACAACTGTCCACTACGAAAGTCTTTGGCAAAGACATTGCCAAAAAGTATGGAAGACCTCATGGCGAGAATCGAGAAGTACGCCAGAGCCGAAGAAGACACGTCAGGAACTAGGGAGGTAAAACAAGAGAAAGGAAACGGCTCACAGAAACGAGGTCGAGGTAACAATGAATCGAGCAAACAAGAAACAGAGTTGAGGGCCACGCAGGCAGTAACAACTGTGTTCTGAATCCCAACTCCCAAAGTCCTGGACCGGATTCGGAACCAACCCTATTTCAGAACACCAGCGAAGGCACCAAGAGAGTTTATGGGAAGGAATGTTGGCAGACATTGTGCTTACCACAATGAAGATGGGCACACGACTCATGATTGCAGAGCCCTAAAAACACACTTGGAAGAACTGGTGAGGCAAGGCCACCTGAGAGACCTCATCGATGAGGCCAGGACAAGGGAAGAATAGGCAAGATTGCCTCAGGCGCTAGCAGCTCCGCCTTCCCCAGCACCACAACCTCAGGCAGGAGGACCTCGAGTAGTCAATGTGATTCACTCGAAGGTCAACGAGAACAAAATTAGGGGGGGACCCAGAAGGTGAAACACTTGCAACATGTCTACCAAGTTGGGAAGAAGAGACATCGGGCAGAGGAACACCAAGGACCAGTAGTGTCCTTTTCAAAAGCCGACCTTGAGATGGTCCAGCATCCGCATAATGATGCCTTGGTAGTATCCCTCCAAGTTGGGGAGTGCCAAGTGAAACGCATCCTGATTGACCAAGGCAGCTCTTGCGACATCATGTACGTTCGATGTTACAAGGAGCGCGGCCTTCACCCAGACGATATAGAGCAATCCAATAGCCCAATGGTCAGGTTCAATGGAACGCCGACATGGCCACTGGGAACAACTAGCTTGGAAGTGCAGGCGGGCACTAGGAAGGTAACAACAGAGTTCACCGTAATCGACACACCCTCCCATTACAAAATCATCTTGGGAAGGCCATGGTTGCATGCAATGCCCCTCAACATTGCATCAACTATTGCGATTCCCAACAGAGCATGGGATAGAGAAAGTCAGAGGCAATCAGCTGCAGGCGAAGAATTGCTCCATGGCAGCAATGAAATCTACCTGCAGCATACGAGAGCCAGAAAAGGTAAAAATTAAAGATGAGGGCGTGGAAGTCCTAAAAGACGTCGGCAAGAAGCTAACCGAGAAGAGCGAAGGGGCACTGAAAAAAATCCTCGTCCAGAATGGGAATGAAGAACGCTTCTTTCTTCTCGGCTCGGACTTAGCCAAAGAAGAAGAAAAAGAGTTGGAAGCTTTTTTGAGAGTAAATATTGAGGTGTTTGCTTGGACACCTTACGAAATGCCTGGCATTGACCCCGAGGTCACTTGCTACAAACTGAATGTTAATAGGTCGGCCAAACCTGTAATTCAATGAGCCAGAAGACCGACGTTGATGCACGTCGAAGCAGTAGAGGAAGAAGTAGACAAACTTCTGGAGGCCAGGGCCATTAGAGAAGTTCACTACCCGACATGGCTATCCAATACAGTGGTGGTAAAAAATAAGAACGGTAAATGGAGGGTCTGCGTAGACTTTACCAGCCTCAACAAAGCCTATCCCAAAAACAGCTTCCCTCTACCCAAGATTGACCAGCTGGTAGATGCCACTTCAGGGCATGGAAGAATGAGCTTCCTAGATGCCTACAAGGGGTACCACCAGATAGCCATGTACCCCCCAGAAGAAGAGAAGACTTCATCACCCCAAAAGGCCTGTATTGTTACAGAGTAATGCCTTTCGGGTTGAAAAATGCAAGAGCAACTTACCAAAGGTTGGTAACCAAAATGTTCAAACACCTGATTGGCCGAACAATGGAAGTCTACATCGACGACATGGTCGTTAAGACCACGGAGCCTGAGGGTCATCTCGCCGATCTAAAAGCTGTCTTTGAAATCCTTAAAACATATCGGCTCCGACTCAATGCATCGAAGTGTGCATTTGGAGTTGGATCTGGTAAGTTTTTAGGATACCTGGTGACTAGAAGGGGCATCGAGGATAGCCCAGATCAGATCAAGGCCATCCTAGAGTTGAAGAGTTCGACGTCGGCAAAATAGGTGCAGATGCTAATTGGAAGGGCCGCAGCCCTGAACAGATTCATCAGCAGAAGCTCAGATAAGTGCAGACCTTTCTTTAACTTGGTGAAGAAAGCCACAGACTTCCTGTGGACCGAAGAATGCGAGGCCGCATTAGCTGACCTGAAGAAGTACTTGACCACAGCTCCAGTTCTTTCAAATCCAGAACCTGGGGAGGAGCTTTTCCTGTACTTAGCCGTTTCAGAACATGCGATAAGTGCAGTACTAATCCGAGAAGAAAAAGGGGAGCAAAGGGTTGTTTACTATGTAAGAAAAACCCTAGCTGATGCAGAAACGAGGTATCTACCCTTAGAAAAAATGGCACTGGCTTTAGTAATGGCTTCAAAAAAGTTGAACCATTACTTCCAGGCCCACAAAATTGTGGTGCTAACAGAGCACCCCTTGAAGTCCTTACTGCAACAAGGAGACCTGACAGGAAGAATAGCCAAGTGGCCAGTCACCCTAGGCCAGTATGACCTGGA